CTATTTTGCAAAGCAAGACGCTCAGTATTATTTGAATGGATTAAAGGGGTGGGAGCATCGCTGGAAAAAAATGTATCGACTTAAAAGGAGACTATGTGGAAAAATAAAATTGAATTTGACCGAAAAATTACTTGTTTCTATGTTAGGCTCAAAACTATTCAGACGACCATCGTATATTAGGTATACAACTTTGCTTCCGCCGTTTTCCTATAGATAGCTTTAGCGGTAAGTGGTGGTCGAAATAAATAGATCATAGACGTCATACAATAAACTTGGGCATCTGTCAACGTAACCCCATAGAAACATTAGTCGATTTGTGTCTGCATCATAAAGTTATTCTCGATTGAAAATGTCAGTTTACGAGCCAAATCCTCGTCATTTGCGGGAGGTTTTAATTTTCTGCTTCAACATGAAGAAATCTGCGGCTGAGGCTCATCGAATATTCTCAAATATTTATGGTGAGGCCGCTATTAGTGAAAGAACGTGTCGTGAAGGGTTTCAACGCTTCAAGAACGATGATTTTGACGTCGAAGACCGGCATAGCGGTGGAAGAGAGAAGGTTTTCGAAGATGCAGAATTGGAGGTATTACTTGATGAAGACTCGTGTCAAAATCAAGAAGAATTAGCACAATCATTGGGAGTGACTCAACAAGCCATTTCAAAACGCCTCAAAGCCATGGGAATGATTCAGAAGCAAGGAAATTGGATGCCGTACGAGTTGAAGCCGAGAGATGTTGAACGGCGTTTGTTTGCTTGTGAACAGCTGCTTGAAAGGCAAAGACGGAAGGGACTTCTGCATCGCATTGCGACTGGAGACGAAAAATGGGTTCATTACGATAACCTCAAGCGCAGAAAATCATGGGGAGTTTCGGCCATGCTTTCCCGTAGACGGCCAAACCGAATATTCACGGCAACAAAGGTCATGCTCTGTATTTGATAGGACCAGCTCGGCGTAGTGTATTATGAGCTGTTAAAACCGACTGAAGCAATCACAGGTGATCGGTATCAAACGCAATTGATGCGTTTGTGCTGAGCATTGAAAACGAACGGCCGCAACACAACGAAAGACACGATAAAGTGATTTTGCAGCATGACAATGCTCGACCCCGTGTTGCGAAAGTGATCAAGACATACTTGGGAACGTTGAAATGGGATGTCCTACCCCACCCGCCGTATTCTCCAGACGTTGTTCCCTCTGACTATCACTTGTTTAGATCAATGGCACACGGCCTGGCTGACCAGCACTTCCGGTCTTATGAAGAAGTAAAAAATTGGATCGATTCGTGGACCGCCTCAAAAAATGACCAGTTTTTTCGACGCGGGATTCGTACGGTGCCCGAAAGATGGGAGAAAGTAGTGGCCAGCGATGGACAATACTTTGAATCATAAATAAATAAAAGTATAACCAGTTTTTTACAATAAAGCCTCGAATTTCGAAAAAAAACGGCGGAAGCAAAGTTGTACGGCAATATTTTGATTTTTTCCCCTTTCCTTGCAGTTAGAATTAGTTAATAATAGCTGTTCACACACACACACACACACACACACACACACACACAGTAGTACGATTCAATAAGTATTGAATTAATCGATGAGAAAGCGCGCTTGATCATTTTTGTACTACATTTTTAAAATTTATTATAATTAGTATTACTAGGTTATATTATTAAAAATTCATAAAAATATTATCATTATTAGTTTCTAAGTCGTATCATTAAAAATCGTAAATACCTTATCTATTTAATTAAATCACGTGCAAGAAGAAAAGATAACGTGGGAGAGAGCACAACGGGGGAAAGAGAGAGCGCGAATAATAAGTATAAGACCGCAACGTGTTGAAAAGAGAGAACTGTCATCTACAATGAGTTAGAGAGAGAGGACAACGGGTGAGAGAGTGAAGGAACGAATCCTTCCCCCAAACCACGGACCCCCGGTAACACGCTTCCCCCTCCCTCGGACCCATCGTCTGTGGCTTCGCCCTCTCCACTCGCGCGACACTAGCGCCATCTGCTGGTTGCTGTATCCGTGAGTTAGAATCGGTATAGTTATACTACTTATAATATATTATAGGACCATATATATGATAAGACAAATATTAAAATCAAAGCCTTAAACGGTCTAGCTGGATCTTAAATGCTTGTATGATTTTTGTGTGAATTTATATACTATGTATGTAATCCTTAGAAACGCGCGCCTAAATGAATTTTCGATCTTGAAACGCTAGACCGTTTAAGGCTTTAATTTCTACCATATAGTTTGTGTTATCACATATACGGTCCTATAATATATTATATTATTTATTTACGTCACCTAAAGATACGTTGTTCCTTTATATGACAATTATTTCGAGGAATATTACTAAGGTCTCGGTAGTCTAAAGGCTTAGGATGCTCGCACGGAATGCAAGAGATCCGGGTTCGACTCCCGGTCGAGGTAATATTTTTTGCAGTAAAGATAAATTATTTATAGATTTTAATATGTCATTCAACATTATTAAGATCGTTTCGAAGATGCGAATAAACATCAAAAAATTGTTAAATTGCTAGTCAATTTAACTCGTGATATTACTGCGGTAGTTTAGTAGAGTTAGTGTTTCAAGACCGAAAAATCATTTCGGCGCGAGTTTCTAAGGACTACATACGTAGTATATAAATTCACACAAGAATAATACAAGCATTTAAGATCCAGCCAGATCGTTTAAAGCTTTGATTTTTTATAGTTTGTGTAATAAATATTTACTAAATATATTTATTAAAATTTAAAATATGCATTATGTTTTAATTATATTTTTAAAAAATGATAAAAAAATTTTTGTATTTAAATACACTTTTAGAGTTTGAATTTTTGTGACTTATTGTGCCCCGGTCTTCTCTATACCATATTTATAGTCATTCAACTGCGCGCCAAATTGG